GCAAGTCCAGGTAACCGCCAGCTAGGACCTCGCAAGTCCGCAAGTCCGAGGAGAATCCTGAGCTCCTCTGCCACCCCGCCCCCAAACACACATCCGTTTCCCAAAATAGAGTTTTGGTTTTTAAACAGAACCTGAATTCTGCAGGTGGGAATGTTTCAAAATGTACTTTCAAATCATGAGACTTGTTAAACTGGACTGGAGAAGGATCCGTTATGGGTCTCATCTCTGGGTAACAAGAGTGGCCCCCAGCTCCCTACACGGAAGATCTAGACCATGTCAACACCAGTGAGCTCCATGGAAGTCTTGTAGAACCCAAACAGGATTGCAGCGAGGGCCAGCCATACAGCTGCCGCGCAAGCGTCACACAACCAGATGCAGAGCTGGAAGAACACTTCCAACGTGGATGTTGGAAACTGAACTAGACTCAAGGTTTACACAACTCAGTAAATTTCTATATTGCTAGAGTGGGCTCAGAGCAGAAACTGTGGAGCACACATTAGGTTTTACCCTTTTAATATCTAATATAGTTTATGCACTTATCTGCCACCAACCCCAAAAAAATTCGTGGTGGAATTTGAACTAGAAAAACAATTAGTTCTATATCCTCTTTGACAACTTGTGTCCAGCACCTACATCCAGTCCTTCCTCACCCTGTGTATTTAGCCTTTTTCTTCTCTTTTCATGTTATAATGTACCCATATGTATATGTGTTTGCACATATACATCTCATTGGCTAATGAGATGACATGTAGTTTTTTTTTTTTTCTTCTTCCCCCCCCCCCCCCCCCCCCCCCCCCCCCCTCCCTCCCCCCTCTCTCTCTTTCATTATGTGACCCCACTTAATATTATACATTCCAAGTCTAAACCTTCTACATGAATTTAAAAATTTTGCAGGAAAATGGATGGACCTACAATGTATACTATTAAGTGGAGTCACCTTGCACACTTTCCAAGCAAAGGAAAAGGCTGCAAAGGCAGTGAGAGAGGTGTGTGTTGGGTGTGTTCCATCTGGGGCTCCCTTGTGGCTGTGTGGCAGGACCCGGAGAAGAGGGCAGGGGACACAGGGCCTGGAAGGATGCAGGCTTTTTGTTGTTGTTGTTAATGGGGATCCATTTAGGCACACCATACATTTTAGAAATAAAATCATTATTCAATCCTTTCAAAAGTTTCAAAACATCTTTCTGAGGGGCTGAAGATATGGCTTAGCAGTTAAAAGAACTTGCTGCTCTTCTGAAGGACCAAGGTTCCATTCCCAGCACCCCGTGGAAATTCACGACCGTCACAACCATCCAGTAAAAAGAGGGATACAGCTCCCTCTTAGTCTGGCCTCCAGGGGCACCAGACATAAGTATCATGCCCAGGTATATATGCAGGCAAAACATCTCTAAACAAATAATAATAAAAATGATTAAAACACCCATCTGTTGAGGACAGAGACTATCTAGTCTTGAAATAAAAGAATGTAACCCACCTACTGGGGACACAGAGACTAGCTAGTCCTGAGATAAAGGATGTAACCATCTGTTGGGGACAGAGACTATCTAGTCCTGAGATAAAGGATGCTGACCGGGACCTGGACATGAGAAGGGGCACGCCATTTCATCTTTACAATTCCACAGTTCTCTCTTTGCACGGCAGATGGAAAGCCAGGGCTCTGAGAGGCTGAGTTCCTTATCCAAGGTCGCAGTGGTGGCAGCAGCTGGCTCTAGAAGCAGCTAGAATGGCTGGTGTTTACATCAATGGCTACCCTCTGGTCTTCAGACAGGCTTGCGCGAACCAGTTTTCCTAGCCCTGGATCATACACAGCCAGTTTACATGACACCTAGAGGCAAGTGAATCAGTAGTTTCGAATGAATTACTGGGCTATGCCTTACGGCTTTTCTTGTTCCGTGGCACCTCTGGTTTAAATACACAACGTATTGTTTTTCAGTCTCATATTTATTCTGCTGTCTGAATGTCTTTCTATAGGAGACACTTTCAGGTCTGTACAGGAGGTCCTATTGCTTGCTTGTAGTTAAAGAGACAGCGAAGACTCCAAGTGTAGATCTCCAATCCCCATTGCCTTCTGGGGAAGACACTCTGCTCCTTCCTCCTTCCGTAACTTGCTTCCTAGAAGAGCTGTTTTCCAGGTCCTGGGAGCAGGGACACAGCAGTCTTCTGACTGCACGAGGTTGGGTGTGGGTACTCCTGTGACTAACAACCACTTGAATGATTATTATGGGCTGTGGCTGACAGCACGGAGGAGGAAGGTCTGTTGGGAAGTGTGGAGTTACCACTTTAAGTAAGGCAGGTATGGAAGGCCCCATTGAAGATAAAATCGCGAAGCTTTAACCCACGGGCCGGCTGAGAGGGAGTATTTTCAGGTGATGTAAAGGGTCTGAGGTAGGATGAGGATGGGTATAGAGCTGGAACAGGGCCAGTGGGAGCAGGTTACAGGACGAAAAGTCAGAAGGGAGACAGGACTGCATAGGGCTGGAGTCCAGGACACACGGTCTTATTTACTTACATGTGCACTGAGTGCTGTAACTGGCCCTGGAGTTAAGCCAGGTGAGCCTGGGGGTAATTAGGGAAGGCATACTACCCAGGTGACCGGGCCTGCGCTAAGTACTTTGATGCCACCCCCACCTTTGACACCTGAGGATACCATGATGCTTCAGCTATAATCCACACGGGTGCCACCATCTTCTTCCTGGACTAACATAGCAGCCGCTTGCCCAGTCTCGCTCATCCTTTATGTCCTATGATGTAATGTTTTCCCTTCCACACAGAGCAGCTTCCATTCCCCGGAACAAAGTCCCAATCCATCCTGGTCCACAAGGCTCTGCCAAGAGGCTCTCTCCCCACTCCACCCTTCTGCCCCTAGGTAGTGCCGCCTCGAAACTCTTATTCCTGCTCCAATAACCTTGCTGGGTCTCCTCTGGACCACTTGACAGCCTCAGAAAAGATTCTGCTTCTCTGAAATTTGTTGATATATTTTTCTGTTTGCTTATCAGCTTCGCGGAGCCTAGACTAGCTCGGAGATTAAGAGCAGGCCCTCTGGGAAAACTGGCACAGTAACCGCGTCAAGGACAAACAGCTCATTCACAGAAGAAACTAGTCTAACCACCAAAGCAACTGAGCATCCAACCCCCTAGCCTCTGTTTCAAACATTCTGCTAGGAGGGCCTTTTCGCCTTCAGGCATGAGCCAAGACAGCTATAGCTGGTGACAAAGGTAAATACTGCTTGGCAAAGGCTCTAGGCCCCTCTCAAAATGTCATCATAAGCATAATGCACATGGAGGATATTAAGAAAAGCAATTAAACGGACATCTAGGCAACCCAATCATTAAAAGTCAAGTTTACGCCATAAGGAGCCCCTGCGTTTGTTGTGCACTGAACAATGAGCTGTAGAGGTGAATAACCACTATGTTTTGTGGCTATAGAAACAATACTGTTTCAAGGGGTCTTCACTAATTTTTAATGTATTATATTCTATCAAAAACTTGGAGATATTGCTATTGTCCTGTGGTTTGTTGATGACAACCATAATTAAGGAAATGCTAACTTTTCAGCAGGAGGTGATGAAGATAAAGGTGTAACCCGTATCCAATCCACAGATCCCGACGGCTTCTGATGCCCCTGGACTCCAGGGTGGGAAACTGGGCAGCACCTGACTGGTAGAGCCCCATGCAGTGATAACAGTTTCCCTGTTATTTGGCGCTATTTTGAAATTTTAGAAACAGAAGTGTTTCCATCTACTGTGGAAGCCAAGAACAATGGGACTCTTGGGTCCTGGTCACTTATTTATACAGACTTTTTGGGGATTCAGTCAAAACAAGAAAAGCAGCCATTGCCTTGACTAAAAAACAAAACAAAACTAACAAGCCATCCCCACGACCCAACCCAAACAAACAGCTAGTACCAGACTAGAGGACAGAGAGCAACATTCCAATAAAACTTAGGTTTTATTCTTGCTTCCTTAGGAGAAAATAACTACAGACTAAAAGACCTAAGTACTGCCACATGTGCTGAAGAAACGTGGTTCATTGCTGCCTATTTGTAAGTGTAGAAGTCACAGGCTTTTTTTTATTTTCATTTCTGAGGATGATATTACATTCTGCACAAGGAAAACCTATTCAAAACACTTAAGTAATAAGCACACATAAGATGACCAAATATTATAAAATCTGGATTAACCAAGACATTATGAAGTGCCACCCTCTGGGAATAAATCCACAGCCATTTGATCTCTCAGATATGACTCAGGCTTGCATGGTGCAAGGGCCTGCCAATGAGGCATGCCCGACAGGCGGGATTCAAGGTCTGGCTGCCGCACTCACTGGTGTGACAAGCCTGAATTTGTACGTAAGTGGGTGGGAATGGTGACAATGACATGTCCCTCACAGGCCTGTCATGAGAATGAAATGAAAAAAGGCGTTTAGTGCTGGGAGTACATGACACACGGGCAATTCAACTGTGGCTTCTAATTCACTATATTTTATTTATTTTATTTTTGCTCATGGAAAGTACTAAGCACAATGTCACTGAAGATACTTTGGAAACCAGAGAGAAGTATAAACTTGGCAGCAGAATGTTACTTTATTCAACTCTAGCTACCCCCTTATCATATCTATAAACGGGAGGCAGCAATTAAGAAGGAAATGACAGGCAAGACAAAAGCCGAGAGGGCTTTGTTGCCATGTGTCCTGAAGACCTTGTCTCTTCTGACGCAAATTCTCCCCTGGTTTTTCTTTGCCTCACTTACAAATGCCTTTCCTTACTGGCCTGGATTTGTGGGACCTTCCCCAGGACTGAAAAATAAAGTACAATTTAGAAGAAAACATCAACGTCCACCACCACCTCAGAGCACTTGGACACCACAGAAGGTTCTGCTCTAGAATTCTGGAAGAAGGAAAGAATAATTATTTCACAACAGCGCTGGAATTACAAGCAGCCCAGAGTGCCAAGTGTTACAGGGATGAACACAGGTAAAGCTCACCTCTTTCTTGGCTGTTATACAATGGCAGGCTTGAGTACCACAGCTGATGAGCCCCATCCAGAGCCAGAAAGGACTGAAGTGATTTGTAAGTGTGCTTTAAATCCAGGGATAATAAGATTTCTCAAAAGCTGGAAAATAACTTACTATATAGCAGAAAGGGATACAGGTCAATCAAACCTGATTACAACGGGATGGCAGTGTTGGCTCACATGTTTAATACTGAGCCTCTGGGAACAGTTCTTTCGGGCCTCATCTCTTTACCGTACTATAGCAGCCACTCCCCATGGCTCCATTTTGCCACTACACCACACATTCTTCACAACGACGTGGATCTCCGCTCTCAGACTGAACCCCAGATAGATCGCTCTCCACCAGTCAAGAGAGAGCCGTGGTCAGCCCACTTTTCTATGTTCCTTGGCGGATCCACCACCATCTGCAGAGGTGGGCACTGTTTACAGACTTTGAAAATAACCTAGACGAGCCCATCATATTCCTTCAAATCCAGTTCTAAATGCAAAAGTATGATACATATCAAAGAAAAGACACAGCTTTACTATCTAGAATAGTGCTAAACTGACTTCTTCGTCTACATACTGAATTCAACGTGTAGCAAAAATGAGAAAACCATGGAGCAAGTCTCACATATTCACAGTGGATTCTATTTGTGTCCGGAAGATTTTAGTATTTCACAACTTTGTGAAACCTTCCGGGATGGGGCTAGCGCACCTGCTGAGATGCAGGCGCGGCATGTCAGCGATGCTCCAGGATGGTACCCTCTAGACCTCCTTCCTGACTATGACAGGCTGGGGAGACAACTGGGGAAATCAAGGAAGACCCAGTCTCCATGTCGACAGAATCCCACGACCTCAAGTTAAGAGTTTTGGGAAGGGGAAGCGGAGAATCTGGGGGAAAGACGCTTGGGCGGACCCCTGGGGTCCGGGCCAACCTGGGGATGCTCAGTCATTTCCGGGGACGGCTCTGGGCAGCCACAGGCTCGCGTGCCCGCGCAACCTCGGCTGCCCCCTGCCGGGCGCGCCCCGCCACCGTGATTACCTCTTGGGGACATCGAAGGCCCTGCAGACGGCAGGGCGGCGCGGGCCGGACAGCTTGGTCTTTCCGTAGCGGATGAGGTCCTGGAAGAGCGCACAGCTCGGCAGCAGTCCGGCGGGCGCCAGCTGCAGGAGCAGTGCGAGCAGGAAGGCGGCGGCCAG